GAGCACTTTTTAAAAGCTGAGAATGGTGTTTTTCAAATTTGTTGCAATTGGAATCGTGTCCCTACACATATCAAAATACTAGTTCCATCTTGAAGAAAAATGAACACTTGTCAATTTGGTGGGCTTAAAATTGGGTGTGGAGCTGTCTTTCACAAAAAATAAAACAATTCTTAAGTAGGAATTATTAGTGGATGAAATACCAGAAAAATTAAACAGTAAAAAACGAAAATGACACCTTGTAGAGCAACATTTTGTCTTTAATAATCAGTTAGGTTAGTTTCATATCCCTGAGGGTCCATCCAACTCAAAATTACATTTGAATAAAAAGAGGGTCTTACATTGTAGTAAAATAATATTGTAGTTGTACTACAATCTATTATTATTATTATTATTATTATTATTATTATGTAATAGAAATTTCTGGTCTGAAACCTGTCAGTAAAGGTTATCTATAAAATTATATTAATGCCAAAAAACAGGAATAGAACTTAACTCACAATTCCATAATGTAGCCATTTGATAATTTCAAATATCTTCTAAATCTGTAATAACATCCAAAATGGAATTTTGTGTTATCAGCTAATTCTTTAATAATATGGGTTGATAATACAGATTATCTGTCAAATCAGGTATAATATTATTAAATATTTGTAATCTTTACATTGGCGGGCAGCTTATATAAGAAAAATAAATATTTATGTGAGAGTCATAAATAAAGAAATCTATATACATAAGCTAAAAAAACATGCATATATATATATATATATATATATATATAGCTACATCTATGTTTATAATTAGATATCTCTGTAGAGATGTGTGAATCTGTGTGCTTGTGTAATGTGACATGCACACACACTTGTTTACAGGCACTTACACATACACACTTCCATTATATATTTATTTGACGCGAACTTATCCTTAGCACAAAAAACCCCCAAACAACAACAGCAACAACAAAAAAAAAACAAGGTTGTTTATTCTGTTCGTTCTCAAAGCCTGATAATCTGATGAAGGAACTGAATTGATTTTTATGAAAGGAACGGAAAAACTTGTTCTCGTATGTCAGCGTAGAAGTTCCAAACTAGCAGATTGGGGGAAGCAAAAGACGATAATGAAGAGGATTAAAAAAAAAATGGTGCTGGTCATTTTTCACAAAGATAAAGCCCTGACCACACAAAAACGCATAAAAAATATTATGGTGGTCAGTGACAAGGAAGATGATGATTCTGAAAGAACAGAAAGTCGAAAACATCGGTAAAGATACGCAAAAACTCTAGATTCTCATTTTGGTATAAAAAAAAAAAAAACTCACATGTACGATCATATGCATACATACATACACATGAACACATACACACAGACAGACACTTACCTGACCTTTACATACACATAAATAGATATATTCATAAATGCATACATGGATACACACATAAATTTACAATTTTTAATTTTAAACTTTTTTATAAAGAGTGATCTCTCAATAATTTTAATGCTCGAAGGTGCATTGAAATGTTGAAAAATACCTTACGAAAGCTAAACAAAGTATTCTATTAAGAAATAGGAAAATTTCATTAGAAACAAAATGTGCTCTCATGCTATGTCATATCAATTCTTTTATATGGAAGTGAATGCTGGACAATCTTACAGATGATGAAGAGACTTATGGCAATAGAAATGTGGTTCTATGGAAGGCTAGTGAGAATGCTATTGATGGAATATGTGATCAATGAGGAAGTTTTAAGGAAAATGAAAACAAAAAGGATACTTATACTTAGAGTCAGAATGAGTCAGCAGAAATTTCTGTGACACATAATGAGGAAAGAGGGCGTAGAGAATCTGACACTCACAAGGCAAGAGGAACAGACGGAAAAAGGTGTGTAACCTACTTAACAAGCTTGTGTAAATGAATGGCAAAAAAAAAAAAGAAGCAAATGGGTGGGATAGTTAAAAAAACAAACATTACTTAGAGCAATAAAGGATTGGAAACTGGGGAGAGCTATAATCACCCACAATCTGATGAGACACTGTACATAAAAGAATGATTGTCATTTAATAAGCTTACTTTAATGTGACACAAATAGGGAGCAACCAGTAAGGATTAAAATTACAACTTAGTAGTAATAGTTTGCAATTTGCTTCATTAGTCTGGCATAAGGCTACACGAGTTGAGGACCTGAAAAGATTAAATGATATAAGAGCAAAGTGAAACTAGTTTTGTAAATGTTGTTTGATAGTGAGAAACTTCAGGCATTTATTGTTTTGCTTAATCTGACACAAGGCTAAAAATGGGGAGTGTTCAGTAAAGCTCAAACTCATGACATTAGTAATAATATGCAAAACTAGTTTGTTAACCATTACTCACTGGTGACATAGTAAAGTTGAGTGTTATAACATTATTATATAAACTAGCTGGATCTATGGAAATTCTAGGTCTGTCCATAAGATTTTCCATTATTATCTTAGGCCTTTTTTCCTTCAGTCTTACATTGCCTGTATCTTCTTATTCTTTCCCTTCTCCCTTCCAATGTTTGTTGCCTGTCTATATTTTTATCTCAATGTAAGCAGAGTATTGAAAAATGGAAAAACTTTTTTAGGAACAAAGAAAAGAATACTGAACTGTTACATGATATCTGGCAGTGAATACTCGACAATCTCCTCAAAGAGGAAGAAGAGATTTGAAGAAACAGAAATGTGGTTCTACAGAATGATGCAAGGGAGACCATGGACCAAATATGTGACAATGACAAATTTTAGAGAAAATGGAAGGATGATTTTATTTTTTCAGTTTAATTGTGTATGGCTAAATGGATAATGGCTAATGGCTAAAAGTATAGCCAAAAACACTTAGAATTATAGAACATTTCGACAGTTTCTATGTCCAAAAAAGAAAGCACTTGTTTGAACACAAGAAAAATTAAGTAAAAAGCTTAATCACAGTACCTTGTCAGTCGTTTGTAATGAAACATGTATAAATGAAGGATTGCTGCTTAAATACACAATATATATATATATATATATATATATATATATATATATATATATATATATATTTATTTTAATATATTTTCTGTTTATACTTTATTTTTATTGATACAGCTTATTTGAGTAAATGCTCTGTTTTTAATTAAACAATATTAATTACATTTACCAGCCTGAATTGGGCTTTGCTAACTGGAGAATTCTCATTGTCTGAATGGTTAACAGCACATCAGTCTATATGATGGTTTTCATATTGGATACAGGTTCAATTCCTGTTGGATTCCTGTTTGCATGAAATTTCTTGAATGTTCAGGCTACTAAATGTAATTAATGCTGCTTAATTAAAACAGACCATTTACTCAAATAAGTTGTATAAGCAGAAAATATATTAAAATATTTGTCAGATTTAATCCATTTCATTTAATGCATACATACATATACACACACACACACACACACACACACATATATATATATATTCCTTTAGCTCTTTCATTTACCATTCTTTCTTCAATTCTTCTCTTTTTTTCTTTTCATCCTTATCTGTTCTCCATCTCTCTTTATCTCCACACACACACACACAGATTCTTTTTCTTTAGCTTTCTTACTTCATACCATTTCTTTTTCAATCCTTCTCTTTGTCACTTTAATTTCATCCTTCTCCTCTCTCTCTCCCTTTCTCCCTCTCTGTCTGTCTGTCTCTCCATATATATATATATATATATATATATATATATTCTTTCCCTTTGGCTTTCTTACCTTTACCCCCTTTAATCCCTCTTTTCCCCTCCCCAATTCTTTCATGCTTAATATTATTTTGTATGTTTCACAATTATTAACTGATTCCTGATCATGCCAGGCTTGGCTATATACTACACTCTGATCTTTGGTAGAAAATTTTAATGGTTGTACATAGAAACAATTAGAATAAAAGCATAGATCTGTTGGCAAACTAATGACTGTCAGCTAAATATTGGCTGCCATGTTGTATCATTGAACCCTCAGACCATATGGAACATGAAAATAAAAATATGAAACTTTAAAATAACAATATTTACATTGTTTATCCTTTAATATAATTAGGTATAAATTTTTAAAAAAATGCATTTTCTGTATCACTGAGGGCTTACTATAAGTTTATAATTATATGTGATTGACCTTCAGTTGATTTACAAATATCTTCTGGATGAAAGATATTTTGATTTAAAATCTTTTGCCTGCTAATTAATTTCAGCATAGTTATGTGAGAAGGCTTCAAAACTGAAGCATGTTATATTTGCATACAGGTTGGCCTTAACTGATTGATATTTTAATTTTGATGAGAGAAAATACAAAATTTGAACTTTAATTTGATTTACTTTTATCTTAGAAAAAGGAATTTCATCATTCTCATTGATTCTTCATCTTTAACGCAAACTCAGAAAGAATTGTATTAGAGTTTATGTTTATTCATAATGAAAAATATTATTTAATGTGGTTTAATATGAATTATTAGAAAATATAGCATTATCTTAGTTTTCTATCTATTCTGAGATTTATTAAGAGTTTCTCTTGACCTGCCATTCTAAAAAAATAATATCTTTTTCGGCTCATTTCTCAAAAAGTTTGCCAACCTCTGGTAGAGATATTGAGCATTACTCTCAAATGATGAAAGCGTGAAGATGGTGAAGTATGAATTGATTTGAATTAATTAAATCTGTAATAAAATTTAAATGAACACAAAACTGAAAGTCCTGATCCTGGATATTAACATGATTGATTCTTGCAAATCAATATATGAAAATATTACAATTTTGGGGGCTAAAATCAATGTTGTCATTACTGATACAGATATTTACAACTAGCTTTTATCAGAATATAATGGATACACATATGAATACAGACAGATACACACACAGACACGTATGTGTGTGTACACACACACACACACACACACACACATACACACAAACACACATGTACAAATATATCAGAATATGAAGGGAACACATATGTGTACATACACACATCTACAAGACTTACGGCCATATTACATTGAAACATTGATTCCCATACAATCATCAAAGTTAAGCAACACTGAGCCTGGTCAATACCTAGATGGGTGACTGCTTGAGAATACCAGGTGCTGTAAGCTTTGATGTGTGGGTGTTGTCATGGATAATAGCTTGGAATTGTTAATCAGAGAATTGAGTTCCAATTCCAGTTGGGTTTATTATATTCACTTAGGTGCAAATACCTTTGGGAAAGGCATGAATCCAACTCTTCTCCCTTCCAGCTATGGGTTAATTATTAGGACTTGTATCACTAAAACTATTATTATCTCTCAAAAAAATAAAATGAAATTTTGTAAAATATTTAGATTTCAGCATTAAATAACCCATATAGGTGTTGATATACTGCTAAACAAAAACAACCAACCAACAAACACATTTCCAATTGTTAGAATACAAAGGGCATATACATCAGTACAATGACAGTCACACATCTGACAAATATGTGTAAACACACATATACACATTAGTACAAAGACATTTACACATATGGCACATATGTATACACACATATGCACATCAATAAAAATATTGAGACATATGACACATACCAACATGTACAAATCTCAGAATATGAAGGAAATGCACATGGGGATAGACATATTCATATATAGATGCATGTGGGTACACACTTGTGCAAACATATAATATGAAGAATACACACATGGGTGCAAAGACATTAACATACATGAGACATATGCATATACACACATACATAAACATTTACAAATAGCAGAATATGAAAAGTACACCTATAAGGATAAACATGCATATAAATATATGTGTATAAATCAGAATATGAAGAACCTTAAAATTATTCTTGGGGTTTTAAAATTTTATTGTTTAATAATTTTATGAAGATTCATCTGATGATGGTGTTGTTTAAATATTTTCAAAGCCATTTTGGTTGGTAAGATGCAAATGTTTAGCATTTTCCTGATGAAAATAACCAAATAAAATGGCTGCAGTTAATAACTTGCCTTTTTAGATAAATTCATTATAAAGCCTTTGTATATATTCACTCATGATTCCTGTCACCAGTACTTGCGCACACACACAAATGCATACACATGTACACATATATCAATACATGTATACAAAAACATATGTACATACACAAATGCTCACATGCATAAACATGAAATATACATAAACTATATTGCACATGTAACCACATACATATATACATGAACTCGTATATTGATGCACATGCATTGATATGTGCACATTCAAGCACTTTCACTTCCCAACACACAAACGCATCTACACACCCATACAAATGAAGTAATAAACTAGAAAATAATCTAGTTTTTAAAATGTTGTATCACTTCAGGGCATAAGGGATTATTGCTCTCCACAGCTTCTTTTTCTTTAAGACATCTTGGGAAGGATAGTAATGAAGTATCCACTTGTCTTTGCCACAGTTTTGAAATCAGTGTTGTCTTTCTTCTGGAAAGGTTGTCTTACCAAGGCTAGAGAGATCACTTTACCCTAATATCTTAGGGAAGAAGAGATAGGTTCATGTCTTTCTCAAGGGTAAAGTAAACACAACAACATTGTCCAAAATTTAAACTCAACCTTGCCATTTTTTTTATAGATCCAATATGGCACCAACACATCTATCTTACAGAGAATATAACATTTTCAAAATGGAAGCAAATTATTTTTGAGACATTGATTGCTTCACTTCAAAAAATGAATTTCAGATTTTAACAGGTTCACTATAAAAAAAAGAAAACACTTTCTGGTCGTAACTTCTGATAAGGTTATTTATTAAATTTTCTTTAAAAATTCCAATCCACTTACTTTACACAGAGTATGTTTGTCATTTCAACCTGGGTACACTTGCCATAAGGAGGTGAAACACATGGTCTGAACAAGTTTTATCACTATACTTAAATGAATTTTACCAATTTTAATAATTTTCACTTTTTGTGTGGTTAAAATTCTTGGTGATGAAAATTCATAAAAATTGGAATATATATTAATAGCATCCAAAAATACTTATAAATACTTCCCTGTTAGAATGTACAGAACTTTTGGGTATTAAAGCCAAAGAATTTGGTATTTATTCCCTCTCATTAAATCAAATATGGTTTTGTGAAAAGGATTATTAAAAAAAATTAACTATTTTAATGTTATATTTTAGAAATCTTATGTTATCTGAGAGATTCTCTCCTGAACTTACAGATGACCACTTTGTCAAAAGAAAAAAAAATGGATATTGACTTAACTTCTTTCTAAAAAAAAAAAACTCAAAGAACACTTCACTGAAAAAAATAGACTTGTTTGAATGAGTAAATGCTAAAAAATATGAAGCAGATTTGTTCTTTGAAGTTTGCAAAGAAGAAGCGACTTGAAACTCTTGAAAAAAGAACCAAATAAAGATGTTTTCATTTGCTTTAGTAAGAGGAACTCAAAAACAAAAACAAAAAGAAAAATTCTGTAGTGCAAGGAAAACTGCACGTCTGACTAATTATTTGGTTATTCTGAATTGTACAAATCAGTTCTTCTTCTATGTGATGTGTCCTTTCAGCACATAGGCAATCATGGCTCTCCACAAGTTCCTGTCATTTGTAGTCCTTAGTAAATTTTGTTTGTTTGCTCTCCCTACTAACCCCTGTTCTACCAACCATTTATACTAGATAGTTCTTCTTCTTCTTCTTCTTCTTCTTCTTCTTCTCGTCCTGCTTCTTCTTCTTCTTCTCCTCCTCCTGCTTCTTCTTCTTCTTCTTCTTTTTCTATGTGACATGATCTTTCAGGATATGGGCAACCATGGCCCTCTACAATTTCCTGTCTTTTGTACTTCTTAGTAAATTTTGTCTCTCCTGAACATTGTTCTGCCATCGATTTACTGAAGCTCACTAGGATTGTTTTTCTCTGTCCCTCTTATCTTGACTCTGTCCCGTGAGAAATTTGTGAGAAATTTACACAGGATTGTTCTAATTCTTCTTCTGTGTGATGTGTGTCCCTTCAGGATGTGGACGATCATGGCTCTCTACAACTTCTTGTTCTCTTTAGTCTTCAGTATAGTTGTCTTTTTGCTATATCTTCTAACCCCTGTTCTGTCAACCATTTACACAAGATTGTTTATTTCCTCTGTTCTTCTTGCCTTCAGCATGTCCTGTGAGTATCAGATTTTCTGGGCCTTCTTTTCTCATTATGTGCCATGGAAACCTCAGCTATGTTTCTGATGCTATTTATATATGTCCTTTTTGTTTCCATTTTCTCTAAAACTTTGTAATTTTATGATCAGTCTTGGATATTCTCAGCATCCTTCTGTAGAACAACATCTCTGCCATATAAATCTCTTCTCTATCTGTGATGAGATGGTCCAGCATTCATTGTTATATAGAAATACTGATATTACATAACAGTTCTTTATTCTTTTCTTTGTTTCCAATTAAATTCTCCTGTCTCTTAATAGTTGCTTAAATTTTTAAAAGGCTTCTTTCACTATGCCTAGGTGCTTTCAGATTTCAATGTCATATTTTCCATCCTCTATTAAAACACTTCCTAGATATTTCTGTCCTGGGTATGATGATAAACTACATCCGGCAGCAAGGCCTCTGATTGGGAGGTTTTGAGGAGCATGGTCCACCTGCTAAACACTTTCCTCTCATATCCATTTTCTGTAAAAATTAAAAATTATAGTTAATAAATAAATTTTTTAAAATGGGGAGTTACTTTTCAATCACCCTGTATATTGAGAGCATCATGTAATATATATATATATATATATATATATATATATATATATATATATATTTGTTTTTGTATGAATGATTCATGAATTTATAAATTATAATTTGCACCTTTAATTGAAAAAAAATAACTGATCCAACGTGCAACTTTCGGATAATAAGTGTGACATTACTGTAATTATTGAACAATATAGTTCATGCCACATAGACGGAAAATCTACCAGTAAAAAAGAATTCTCTTTTGTACAAAAATGCACAACCTTAAAATTTAAATTCAAACTCAGCGTTGCAACCGCACGTTCAAAAACAATAACACATTTCTCATAGCATTTTTTCAGATTACATCTCTATTTTTGTTGTCCTCTTATTACCAAGAAGTAAAAACAAGAACAAAATCTATTTCCATACCTGAGGATGTCTGTAGGAACAGATGAAAGCTTGTAAAAATTAAAAGACCTTATGCAACTAGAATTTATGAACAGGGATCATATCATTCATATACAGATTTGGGGTTGATGTATCTTATTTATATTGTATATGAAGATGTATTCTCGCCATTTAAATCATTAACCTCTATATTTGTTTTTTGTATGAATGATTCATGAATTTATATATATATATATATATATCAATACCTAATATATGTTTGCATTTTAGATGTGTGTGTGTATGCATGTGTGTGTGTATGTGTGTGTGTGAACATGTACATCTAAGATGCAAATATATAATGTGTTTTGAAAAGTTCTCAGTAAGACAAAAGATCAATGATTAAAAATGATTTCAAATGGATGAACCATGTAGATCTTGAAGACAATCTGACATCAGGCGCTAGAGACTGAAACTACAAAATAACGACCAAAGAGATTTACCAAATAAAATAAAACATATTACTTGATGACTTTTAATAGTGGCAACAACAAAAATAGGCAGCACATGAAACTAGAAAGGAAAATGATATAATCAAGATGTTAACTTTTCACACTACCTTAAGCAAAAAGTTAGGAAGAAAACTCTCATCAATACTAGAAAGAGCTATAACATTTATTGGACTTGGGAAATCTAATTTTCTGAAAAAACTGCTTTAAGAAAAAGATTTTATAAATTTCAACCACCAATAACACTAACTGTTCAGTCACTAAAAGCCAAATGTTTTCTGTATGGAAACGGCAAATTTCACAATTACCATTTATGGATGACATAAATTTGTGTACATGATATGGGCAAATGAAGAATATCAGAGGAATGGAATTTTTGGTTTCCTTTTCTATATATTACGAGAACTTTGCCCATTTAAATCATCATCATCATCATCATCATCATCATCATCATCCAGCTCTTTTCAATATCTCTAAATCTTACACATGGTTTTAACTGGCT